TGCTCCTCTGATGCTGCTTGGCCTGCTGTGTTCATCCAACTCTACACCTTCTTATCTCAGATTCTCCAGCATCGGCAGTTCCGACGATCTCTGAAGAGTTTTCCATATTCTGCTTCTGCAATTTCTAGAATACAGGAATGTATGACTGATTAAATATTCAACAGGAGGAAGTCAGCCAGCTACTTTACTTTGTTCACTCCATCACACCAGTTGTATGATCCTTTGATCTCTCTGCCCGTCATCTCTCTGCCTATAAAACTGTGTGTTTGTGTGCTCTCCTCTCACTGCACCTGACAAAGGAGCTGCACTCCGAAAGCTTGTGATTTCAAATAAACCTATTGGACTAAAACCTGGTGTCGTGTGATTTTTGACTTTTACCATTCAATTAGATCATGGCTGATCCTTATCTTAACTCTGTCTACCTGACTTGACTCTAACCCTTAATCCCCTTGTTTAGTAATAAATGATAAAATCTCAGCTTTGAACTTTCAATTGACCCCCAGCATAGGGAAAGTGTTCCAGATTTCCAGTCCCTTTTTTGTGTTTATTGACATCACCTTGAGCAGCCCTGTTCTAGTTTTATATTTTTTGAATCAACCTGTTGACAGATGTTAATAAACAACTTGGAGCAGGTGGGACTTGAGCCTAGGTATCCTCGTTTACAGAAGGTATACTACCACTACACCACAAGAGCCCCTTGCTCAAATTTTAATGCTCTCACCATTGTTTTGGATAAAGTACAGTATTAACTTGTTTAATCATCTTAAAAACCATAATTATATACTGCTTAATTTTCAAATTTCAAGGGAATGCAAACTCGTCAGTATCCCTGCCTCTAAGCCAGGAAGTCCAAGTTCAAGTCCCATCGGTTTCAGCTATGTATCTTGGCATGTCTGAACAGGCTGATTAAACTCAGTCTGAGTAACCTGCCCACATGATTAAATCCTTTAGGCCCGGAACATTATAGTGAATCTACGCTGCACTCCCTCCAAGGCCAACTGAAGTGCAGTGCCCAGAACTGAACACCGGTCTCCAATTAGGCTCTAAACAGAGCTCTGTACAGCTGGAACATAACTTCCCCAAGAACACAGTTAGTTTTGGGGAGGATAAGTTGTGGGTTATGTCTTCTCTCAGGATTGTCCTGAAGTAACAAATAGTTTTGACAGAGGAATGCAGGTCTAGTGGTGCATGATGTGGTCCAGTCAGAACTGGTGATGCACAGTCAAACCAGTTGTGTACCAGAGAGGCTCAGATTTTCACCCCAGGATATGGAAATCACGAGGCAAGTGAAGAGATTAGTTGTAATTTTAAGGAACAAGTGTCTAAAATGGTGGATGTGAGGGAGAAGTTAAACCAGATTGATGCTTAGAGAAATATTCCGGTGAACAGAGACCAAAGAGCAGAATCGGGAATTAGAAAGCACGATCCGACTCATTCGCGTACGCAGGGTGCGCACTCAGGACTAGAAACTGATTGGTTTATCAATTCATGTGATCACTGGATTTCCGTGATCATTGGTGAGTTTGTATAATGGAAATAAGCTCCATTCTGTACCACTAAAGTTGTGTCATTTCTGACCATTAGCAATGGGAGCCAGACTAAAGCACAGGGATTTTAAAGAAACATCTGTAGCATTCTGAATTTCCCCTAGTTTGAACGTGTGTCTATTAGTAAAGTGAGCCAGTTTTCATGAGTTCTTATTCAATGAAACTCATAGGATTCTACACTAAGAACCATATTTGCAGTTTTTTGGTCATTGTCACCATGTTCTGGGTTACTTTGTTCATCAAAGGGTTTATAATTTCCAGTTCACCAGAAATATTATTTTTCCCTAGCAAAGGAAAGACTGCATTTATATGCAAACTTGCACAATCTCATCCTATCTGAAAGCACCTCTCAAATTAATTCCTTTTTGAAATAGTTACACTGATGCAATGTAACAAACGTAACAGCCAACTTGTGCACAGCAAGCTCCTACAAAATGCAAAGTGATAATGACCAGATTATGTTTTTGTGACATTGACTGTGGGATCCATGTTGGTCTGAATGCCTGTGTGAACTGCCCTGCTCTTGTTTGACACTATCATGGGATCTTTTACATTCATGTCAGAAGACAGAATGGACGTTGGTTTAATTCATTGAACAATAGTATCTCTGACAACGCAACATTCACTCGGTAGAGCACTAGAATATCAGCCTTTGTGCTCAAGGATTGAGTCTTTTGACTCAGATGAAATGCTGGCCTCAGATATTGTTGATGTCTTACATTCAGTTTCTAAAGGGTTAAGTTCCAGGGCTGTGTACAAAATTCTTAGCCCCCAGCAAGCAGGCAGCCTGAACATTTTCTTCCATTGAAAAGAATAACTAGTTAGAGCCGCAGGTGTCAAGTATTGTCTTTCTGAAGCTGTAAAAGCTGATAAAGTCCCTAGTGTCAGCTGGAATGGGCGTCTTAAGGAATTGTCTTCAATCACTACTGTGATGAACCATTCTACTTTCATTCACACAGGAAAGTTCTATTGTTTAGACACAGTTCTAACAGTGTGTCTGGAATAAAACTCAGAGAATAACCCACTCTTCCCAGGAACGTTTAGTGCTAGTTTCAGTAAGGTTTTTCAGTTTGTTTTGAAGCTCCTCCATCAACCCACCCCTCTCTATCTCTGTAATCTTGTCCGCCTCTCAGTGCTGCATTGGAGTGTCCACCAGGAGTTTTTGTGCTCAAGACCTGAAGTGGGATTTGAACCCATAACTCTCTCACTCAAAGAACAAGGTTGTGGGTTCAAGTCCAACTCTAGATTAATTATTCCATGAATATGCATTAATGTTATTGTTAGGATCCCATGAATAAGTCCCCAGGCTCTGGGCTTCCTGTAGATACATCACCCCTCATCCCAACCTATGTTTATTGAAACAGTCACGTCATAAAATGGGTGAAGAAATTGTAGACATTTCCGCTTTTCCCCAGACAGACCACTTCTAGATTCTGGTCTTACTCTGAATACACAATGGTGCAGAACAAGTGTGTGTAGTGTAATTACGCTTCTTTATTGAGTATATGTTCACATGTATATGTATATAGAGCTGCTACAAATAAACTTACAAAACTGGCCTTCTTGTGTGACAAGGGTCAGTCCTTAGATGGTCAAACTGTTAAATGAAACCCTTTCACGACCTGAGTGATTGACCAGACCACTTCCCCTGACAATCTCCTGATGGTTATCGTGTGAAGTATGTCACTCAGACCAATGTTCACACCCCTTCAGGACATCAGATGACAACAGCACATAATTTTATTCAATCCCCTCTGACCTAGGATTGTTGCCAGTGGTATTCCCCTTTGCCCCTGCCAATCTTGTGGCTTTCTCCCACATTAAAACAGATTTTTTGTAGATTCATCAGTTAGTTAAAGTATTCTCAGCACTTATTATCAAAGGCTTTCGTAAACGTGAATAATCTCAGTTCTAATCTTGTCAGATTTAGTTGGAAAATAACAAGGCTTGCAGATGTTGGAATAAGAAAAACACATCTTTTTGACTCTTGTCTACTACTAGTGATCACAAGGCTGTAGATATCTTCAGTCATTGTTTCCTTCCTCTCTTCAGCTGTGCTTTTGTCCATTCCCCACATACAAGAACACTATGAACCATCCACAACTGAGTAACTAAGTACAAAAGCCAGGACAAAATACTAAGAAAAAATAGCACATAAATTACGAAGATGAAAAATTCTCTGGGCTAAAAGTCGATGAAATGAGATTTAAAATATATCTTAAGTCTCAGAAAATTATCCAGTGGATGTTTACACAGTGTTTACACACTGCATTGATCATGAAACGAATCAGATCACAATATACCACCCTAAAAAATAACTGCTTCTATTGTCACACACACTTAAAAAATATTTGCTTTAGTAAAACCTTTGGACAAATTTGCAACAAGCACAAGCACACCAGTTACGGTCAAGAGTTTGTGCTATGTTTTGGGTGCAGGTTTATCAGTGTAATCTGGTTGTAAGTGGCAGTATTGGGAATTTTAAGTGTCAGTAACATTAAGTGTGAATTGAACTTTTTCGATCTTCAGCATCAGTTTATTAAACATCAGCCAGGAAGCTGGTTCCAAACACAGAAATGGCCCCAGACAGGAATAGTGAGAGTGCTGAGTTTCTGCTGATTGCCTCTATTTGAGACAGCTCTTCAAATTATACTCAAGATTTTTCTGTTCTGAGGCACAAAACAGTCAATCGTATTCATGAATCAAGTCTACATATAAAATTTAAAAAAAATGTTCAAGAACTTCTGCTGGTCTGACTGCACTGTACAAAAAGAGCCAGTTAATGTTCTGAATCCAATATGATTTTTCTCCAGAACTGAAAGGAACTGGAATATGTGTGGTTTTATGCTTTTGACAAAGTGGAAGGAGGAATGAGTGGAACAGATACCGAGAATGCCCACAACAAATGGCAAATGGAATTTTAATGGTAGAGAAGTAATATTGATGCAGAAAATGCTATGTGTGAACAGTTAAAAATAGGTCAGCGCTGCTGACAGCAAACAAGACTCTGCGGTGGAGGGGGTGGCTTATAATCAAAATAGAAGACAGAGTTCATGGCTGAAGTTGTTGACTCCTAAAGGCTGTAAAGTTCCAAAGCAGAACATGATGTACTATTCCTCCAGTTTGTTGGAAAATTGCAGCATTCCACAATGACACAGAAATGTTAGTATGGGATGATGTACTGAAATAGTGACTGGAAGGTTAGGGTCATTCTCACAGATAGTGAGGTGCTCCTCAAAGTGGCGACTGACTATGTGTTTAGTCTCACCAATGTAAATTGCATTGTCAGCAGTGAGTAGATTAGATTGAAAAAAGGTTTTAATGGCACCTTATGAACTCACACTCGATCAAATGACAAAAATTATATACCTCAATACTGGAAGTTTATTGTATTATTGCGATCTCCGTGATGCCCAAGTAGTCAATTGAGGGTGCGAGTGAGAATGCTGTTTACCAGCAAGTTTAAGGAAAGTTGCATTATTATGGATTTACACTGTAAACAAAGTATACAGTGATGTGTATACTGCTTGCATTATGCTTCTATTATTTTCATGTGTTTTACATTGACTATATGGACCTCTTGATCAACTGGAATATTTGATCAACTGGCACACTCCTGGTTCCATAGGTGCTGGTTCACAAAACATTTGCAGTTAAAATAAATTGCTGCATCACCTGCATGGTGTGTTTGGGGTGTGGGGCAGTGAGAAGGGAAAAGGTAAAAGAGCAAGTGTTAAAACTTTCAGCAAATAGCCATTACAGGAGTCCTTACAGGAAGACTGTGATGAAATATAATCAAGGCAAGTGGATGTTGATGGGTTTGTAATAGATATTGATGGACAGCCTATCCCCAAAAAATGGAAATGTCAAGGAAAAGAAGGGGTAGAGTCAGAGTTGGGCCAGATGAAGATGGAGAAGGATGGATACTGGAAGCAAAACTGATGAATTTTTCCAATTCTGGCTGAGACCAGGAGGCTTCACTATATCAGAAAAAGAGTTATCGGAGGGGGTCCGAGTAGGACTGGAAGAAGGAATGTTCCACATACCCCTGAAAGAGAGTTGCACAACGGGACTCATGTAGATACTCATCGCTACATCTTTTACTTGGAGAATATGAGACAAGTTCAAGGAGAAAATGTTCGAAGTAAGTAGGAGCTCAACCAGGTGGAGGGCGATGGACAGGGAAACTGTTCAGGCCTCTTTTCAAGAAAGAAGTGCACAGCCTTCAGATGATTCTGCTGGGGGATGGACAAGTGAGGGATTTTATAGTCCATGGTGAAGAGAGGCAGCTGGGGCAAACAAATTGGAAATTGTGGAACCAATACTAAGTTTCAGAAGAATCACAAATGTAAGTGGAAGAAACTGGCTGAGGGGGAAGAGACTGGACAAGGGGGAAGAGACAAATAGACTGCAGATAGGAAGAGATAAGTTTATTGGGGCAGGAAGAGACTGAAATGATGAGTCTGCTGGATTAGTCTTGTTCGTGGATTGTGGGGAGAAGGGCTCTTTGGGGTTGGGGACTATTTGGTAGAAAGCTGTGGAGGGAAGATCTCCAGGGGAGATGAGATCAGTGACTGTCCTGGAAAAACCAGTTGAGGAATAGTGCTGGGACAATGGTCCAGAGGGAGCTAGAAGGAAATGTCTGAGAGTTGGTACAGTAGAGTGGGCACATCAGACAACATCAACAACCCTCGTCAGCAGCGTACATGCTTGGCCAGCAATTAATTCAGCAAGGCCCATAGACTTGTGTCACATAACAGGATAAATAGTTAAATCTAGTCATAATAACATTGTTGCCTTAATAATACTGAATAGAGTTTCTGCTTACTTTTTACATTCATGATAGAGTTTAAAATTGTGCATTTTCTCACCATTCCTCATCACTATAATGGTGGAGTTTGAGAGAGAAGAGAGAGACGTGTGAAAAATAGGAAGAAGATTGAGAAGGAAGGAGAGATGGGGGAGGAGGAGAACAGAGCAAAGTAAATTGCTCCATCCTCCCTCCTCTGTCCCTCCCTCCCCTTCTGTATTTCTCTCTCCTGTTCGATTCCCTTCTGTGACCCTGCCTCCTGTATATGTGATAATCCCACCACTGCATGTCATCACTACCTTGGATGCTGGGGGTCTTCCTCTTCTGATCTGCTGTAAAACACATCCGAGGCTACACATCCCACACTGGTGTTGTCAGTTTGAAAGCTTCCGAGGATGAAGAATGCTATTCTCACACTAGAAATCTCTGTCAAATATTTCTCATGTTGCTCCAGAAATAATTGGAGCAATTTGAGTTTTAAATACTGTTCTATTCTCATTTCTTTAGGCATAATAACCCTGCACCTTTTGTACAAGATGCTATCTTTGGCAATCTGTTTGTGTCTATTTGTCCAATTCTCTCTTACCGTAACAGGGGTCTCTTTGGTGGTTTCAGGCCATCCTTTCATCACAACTTTTTGTAACATTTGAAGAGTTGCAACTTGTTGGGTAGTTTGCTAAATCTGTCAGATTCATCCCAAATCCTGAGTCAGAACCTCTATTTTTGACACTGAACAGAGAGAAAACTACCCACTTATGCAGATGTCAACTTTCTGGCATAACTGCTTTAGAAAGCAGCAGGCAAAAGAACTCTCCTAGTACTAGAATCTATACAGAGAGCAGTAAAGAGAATCAGTGCAGGAATCCACACAGAGAGCAGTGAAGAGAATCAGTAAGGTTGGGAGTGGGATAGGATGGCAGGTTGGTAGGTTGGTAGGTCAGCAGCTGAGTGAGTTGATGAAGGGGTTTGTTTGGTTCGGGATTAGTTAGGTTGGGTAAGGAGAGATTGTCAGGTTGGGAATTTGTTAATTTTGGGATAGTCGGGGCTGGACAGGTTGAGTCTGTTGTGGTGGTGGTGCTGTCTGGCCAGGCCTTAGTAAGGTGGAGGGTTTTGGTAGTGGGGTGGTCAAGAGGTCAGAGTGAGTTATGGTGAGTAAGCAACACGGGCACCCAGTAGTTAGACAAGGCTTCTTCCTGCCTAAAATTTCCTGGGTAACTATCCAGGTCAACACTTGTAACTGTCTGAAGTCTTGGAGTTGGAGACCGCTCAGAGGATCCTGGAAGCTGGGGAATTCCTTGTTGGATGTTTAATTTCCCAGATAATTCTCACGGAGTCACTGTGAGTGGCTCCAATACCTTACCTCTGGACTCCAATAACCCGGAGACCAGAAGACGTCTCCATGTCACTGCTGGGTTGATAATTCCAGAGCACTTTGTGCTGATTTTTCTTGTAGTAAATTGGGAAGGTTTCATACTCTGTACAAGCATCATCAACTTGAAACAGTAAGCAGCTCTCAACAGCATGTCAGTGATGTACATCTGCTTTTCTTGATTGTACTTTATTTCCAAACAAATTCTCCACAAGCAAAGTAACATCCTGTGCAAATGCTCTGAAGCAGATACAATGAAGATGTTTTGAAATGGCTTGTGGTCAGACTCCATCATTACTTTCTCTTTCCCAAACATATACACGTTGAACTTCTCACAAATAAAGACAATATCCAGCCTCGCTTTCTTGATCTGTATAGTGTTTTCAAGTTTGTGTAAATGATCTGGTTGCCCTCACTGTATGGAGGTTGCTCCAAGTCCTGTGTCACTGACATCACACTGCAGGGTGGCTCCATTGTTGACATCATAATCCCTCAGCACTGGTGATGTCATCACTAGGTGTTTGATGGGAGTGAAAGCTGCTTCTTGTTCTGTTCCCAGTCCCACTGAACACCCTGCACTGAAACTGTACACCGTTACACACTCTGAGGACAGAGTGACAAAAATATGGTAGGTCATTCCTGTGTGGGTTCACTGATGCTCCACAAGGTCCATAAACTGTGTGAAGGCTTCATTACACAAGTTATAGTGAGAGGGTTTCTCTTCTGGGTGGGTGTGCTGATGGAAAAGAGATACGCTGACTGTGTGAAAGCTTGTCACACACATTGCACCTGAAGAGTTCTCCCCTGTATGAATCCTGTGGTGCCATGGATAGTCAAAGACCTCATGAAAGTTCCATGACAAACCTGTCACTCTCCTGTGTGGATCCTTTGATGGAACAGGAGGTTCCATGACCTCGTGAACGATTTGTTGCACACCTCACATGTGAATGGTTTCTCCCCTGTATGAATGCGTTGGTGTACACGGAGGCTTGATGATACAGAGAATGATTTGTTACACACCTCGCAAGTGAATGGTTTCTCCCCTGTGTGGATCCTCTGGTGAAGCAGGAGCCTTGTTGAGTCAGAGAATGATCTGTCACACACCTTACACTTGAACAGTTTCTCCCCTGTGTGGGTGCGTTGGTGTGTACGGAGATTTCCTGACTGTGAGAATGATTTGTTACATACTTCACATCTGAATGGCTTCTCCCCTGTGTGAATGCGTTGATGTACGTGGAGGTCTGATGATGATGAGAATGATTTCTCACATAGCTTGCATATAAATGGTCTCTCTCCTGTGTGGATGCGTTGGTGTATACGAAGGTCCGAGGATGTTGAAAATGATTTGTTGCACACCTCGCAATTGAATGGTTTCTCCCCTGTGTGAATGCGTTGGTGTCTGCGGAGAGTCGATGAATCAGAGAATGATTTGATACACACCTCACACCGGAATGGTTTCTCCCCTGTGTGAACACGTTGGTGCACAAGCAGTGTCGATGACTGTGAGAATGATTTGCCACAAACCTCGCACCTGAATGGTTTCTCCCCCGTGTGAATGGGCCGGTGATTCACGAGGCCCGATAACTGGGCAAAGCTCTGGTTACATACTTCACATTTGAACGGTTTCTCCCCTGTGTGAATGCGTCGGTGATTCACAAGCGTTGATGATTGTCCAAAAGCTCGATCACACACCTCACACTTAAAGGGTTTTGCTTCCATGTAGCTGTACTTAGGTTAACAGTTGTTCCACAGATGCACCTTGAGTATTAGGAGACTTTACGAGCCTGTGGAGCCCTCCTCACTTACCTCATACTTTAGCAGCTTCTCACCTTTCGGAAAGAGTTAGTGATTTGTGAGACTTGATGAACGATTGAAGCTTTCACTACACTTGCAGCCAATCACACTTCTTCCAACCACCCACAGCCAAATCTTCAGAAGGGCTGGTTCTGATGGAAGACCCCACACCACTGACGAGTTCGAGATCTGATGATACGTCAAAGCTCTCCTGACCTGACCGATTTCCAGATGATGGTTTCACTGCCCAACCTTCTCTGTGTTAAGCAATGCTGTGAAGGACTGGATGTCTTCCCAGAGTCGTGCAGTTGTTCCTTGGGTGATGGTCAGGATCTATCTGCGGTATCTATCCCCTCTGTATTCTTTGGTGTAGTACAGTGTATTCCTGCTGTAAAATAGGAAAAGGAAACATGATAGGTGATGGTCAGGATCTATCTGCAAAATTATGAAGCAGGTTATTTAGTCATGTCACAGTCAAATAACTACGGCAAAATAGTGATCACAATACCTTTGAATTCTAGCTTCAGTTTGTGAGTGACTTTTTTCAAACATAACCTTAAATGTAATGCCAATTTTGTTGTACAAGGGAGGTCCAGTCTCAGGTTAACTGGATAAATAGACTCAGAAGTATGGATGTAACTGACCAATGAAAAATATTTAAAGAAACAACCCAAAATGCTCAACAAGTGTGATTTTCATTGAGAAACAAAATCTCAGCAAGAAAGCCCAAACACATAGGAAGTTCAGGATAGTATTAAGATGAAAGGAAGAGGCTTATAATGGAAAAAGTAACCAGTTTGGGATTGGGAGTCTATTTTGAAAACAGCAAAGGACTACCAAAGATTTGATTAAAAGTTAAAAAAAAGTAGAATTTGAGACTAAATTAGCCAGAACTGTAATAACAGATTGTAAAAGCATGTGTACGTAAATAAAGAGAGAGAGTATCTCAAATAAACATTGGTCCCTTATAAGCACAGATAGGAGAAAATATTGTGGGGAATAAGACATAACATAGTGTTTTGGATTTGTTTTCATAGCGGAAGACACAAGTTTAATTCAGGACATGGACAGTAACGTAGGGGCTAAAACGTGAGGAAATTAATATCAACAGAGAAAAAGTATTGGAGAAACCGAAGGGAGTAAAATCTGATAAATTCCCAGGACCTGACAGCCTACACTCTCGGAATCTAAAGGAGCTACCTGCAGACAGTGAACATACTCGCTATGTGCAAGTGAGAAAACAAACAACTACAGGCCAGTGGCCCAAATATCAATTATTGGGGAAATGGTGAATTTATTACAGACATACAACATGGAAACAGACCCTTCAGTCCAACCAGTCTATGTTGATCATAATTCCAAACTAAACTAGCCCTTACCTACCTGCCTGTGCTCGGCCTCGAAACATTTCTTATTCATGTACTTAACTAAATGTCTTTTAAATGTTGTAACTATACCCACATCCATCACTTCCTCTGGAAGTTCATTCCACACATAAACCACTCTCTGTGTAAAAAATTGCCCGTCATGTCTTTTTTTAAATCTTTCATCCTTTACCTTAAAAATATGCCCCATACTCTTGAAATCCTCCACTCTAGGGAAAAGATACCTGCCATTCGCCTTCCCTATACCCCTCATGATTTCAGAAACCTCTATAAAGTCTTCCCTCAACCTCCTATGCTCCAATGAAACAAGTCCCAGCCTAGCCAGCTTCTCCTTATAACTCAAACCCTCCATTCCCAGTCAAATCCTGGTAAATCCCTTCTGAACCCTCTCCAGCTTAATAATATCCTTCCTATAACAGGGCAACCAGAATTAGAAATGGTACTCCAGATAAGGCCTCACCAACATCCCGTACAACGTCAACATAAGGTCCCAACTCTTATACTCTAAGGTCTGAGCAATGAAGGCAAGCATGCTAAATGCCTTTTTGACCTTATCTATATGTGAGGCAAACTTCAAAGAATTATGTACCCTAATGACCTCTGTTTTTTAACACTACCTAAGGTCCTACTTTTAACTGTACAGGTCCTGCTCTTGTTTGTTTTACCAAAATCCAATATCTCTCATTTATCCAAATGAAACTCCATCTACCACTTTTTGGCCCATTGACCAAATTAATCAAGATCTCTCTGTAATCTTAGATAACTTTCTTCACAGTCCACTATGACACCAATTTTAGTGTCATCCGCAAACTTACTAACCATGCCTTCTGTATTCTCATCCAAATCACTTATATAAATTACAAACAAAAGCGGACCCAGCACTGATCTCTGTGGAACACCATTGGTCACAGGTCTCACTGTCTCCTGCCATTAAGCCAATTTTGTGTCGAATTGGCAAGCTCACCCTGAATCCCATCTTACTAGTTTGTCTACCATGCAGAACCTTGTCAAAAGCTTTACTAAAGTCCAAGTAGATAATGTCTACTGTTCTGGCCTCATCAATCTTCTTGGTTACTTCTTCAAAAAGCTCAACCAAGTTTGAGAGACACAATTTCCCTTGCACAAAACCATGCTGACTATTCCTAATTACTCCTTGCTTCTTCAAATGCGTACAAATCCTATCGTTCTGAATCACTTCTCCTTACATCCCTTATTAAACAAAGGAACAACATTAGCCACTCTCCAGTCATCTGGCACCTCACCTATAGTGTAGATGATACAAATATTTCTCCCTAACTTCCCACAATGTCTTGGGATACACGAGATCAGGTCCTGTTATATTTTTGAAGACCTCCAGCACTTCCCCTTCTGTAATGCATCAATATTTATTTCCCCGAGTTCTCTAGTCTCCATTTCTTTCTCCATGGTAAAAACTGACTCAAAATATTCATTTAATACCTCTCCCATGTCCTAAGGTTCAACACAAAGACAACCTCTTTGATCTTTAAGGGGCCCTACTCTCTCTCTATTTGCTTTCTTCCTGTTAATGTATTGGATTATCGTTAACCTTATTTGCCAAGGCTATCTCATATCCTTTCTTTGCCTTCCTGATCTCCGTCTTCAGAATGCCCCTACTATTCAAGAGATTCATTTGAATCCAGTTGTCTGTATCAATGATTCTTTTTTATTCTTGACGAGAGATTTAATATCTTTATTCATCCATTGTTCTCTAATCCTACCAGTTTTACCTTTCACACTAACAGAAACAGAATGCCTCTGAACTCTTGTTATCACACTCTTGAAAGCCTCCCACTTATCAGATGTCCCTTTACCTACGAACTGTCTACGCCAATCAATTTTTGAAAGTTTTGGTCTCAAACGATTAAAACTTGTCTTACTTCAATTAAAAAGTTTAATGTTATGGAAGGCTTATCCTTTTCCGTACCTATTTTAAAACAAATAGAATTATGATTGCTAGATCCAAAGCGTTCCCCTATCACTTCAGTCATTTGCGCTGTCTTATCGCCCAAGACAAAGTCAAGTTTTGCTCCTTCTCCAATAGAAACATTTACATATTGATAAAGAAAATTTTCTTGAACACATTTTACAAATTCTTCACCATTGAAACCTTTAACACTATGGTAGTCCCAGTTAATGTTTGGAAAATTAAAATCACCCATTATTACAATCTTATTATTCTTATATATATATCTGAGATCTCTCTATATATTTGTTCATCAATTTTTCCCTGTCTATTGGTGGTCTATAGTACAATCCCATCAAGGTGATCATTCCTTTTTTATTTCTAATTTCAACCCGTATATTTTCTTTGGATGATTTTTCAGAAGTACCTTATCCAGTTCAGCAGTAATGTTTTCCTTAATCAAAAATGCCACTCCCCTCCTCTGTTGCCTCTCTTTCTATAATTCCTTTAGCGTCTGAAACCTGGAATACTGAGCTGCCAGTCCTGTCCATCCTTCAGCCAAGTTTCCGTAATAGCTATGATTCCATGTTCCCAAACATGCCCTGAGTTACCTGCAAGACCCCTTGCACTGAAATAAATGCAGTTTACTTCTTCAGAGTTACTGTGTTCTCTGAAAGTCTTAACAATGTACTTAGAAAAACATAGTATGATTAGAACAAGTCAATGTGGTTTCAGTTTTTTATTTCCATTGGATGTGGCTGTCAATGGCAAGACCAGCAAGTGTTGCACATTCTGAATTGTCCTTGAACTGGTAGGCTTGCAAAGCCATTTCAGAGGACAGTTAAGAGCCAACAACATTGCTGTGGGTCTGGAGTCACATATGAGCCAGACGAGAGATAAATAGCAGATTTCCATTCTTACAGGTGGGATGTGAACTTCTGTCCCCAGAATACTGATCTGGGCCTTTGCATTACAAATACAATGCCATGACAAATTTCCCACCATTTGCATGTATCTCTTCGTGTTAAGAGTCTATGTTTGACATAAAAATCACTCAGGAGAAATGTTACTTCAATAGATTCTGAAATTTCTCCTTTGTAAGCTATAATTATTTGAAGAAAACACACTGAGTTAGAAGTGCTATAAGCTGAGGAAAACATTACTTCAGTGCACCTGATTGGAGGGTTCTGGTTTATCCTGGGAAATCAGATACACTGTACTCCCTCAGACTGCACATCTGCAGCTATCAGTCAAATTCAGCTGTCAGTTGCAGCAGTGGGCAAAACTATTATGGGTTGAGGACAGGTCCCCAAGTGAGGGAAGCTGTCCACAGAGTGGTAAGGTACGGTGATACTCACCGAATCATATCAATCAGGGAACATCCCAAACTCCTTTGTCACCATCCCTGGGAATGACCCATCTCACTGGTGGTGGGGGAAGTCCTCAATCTTGTCTCCATGGGGTCCAATGGCTACAGGTCAAACAAGTTCAAGGAAAACTACCACTTCCCTCCCAACTGATGAATGTCCCCTTCACCGTGTTCATCATCATGAGGGAAGTAGACCAAGGACAGATTCCAAAACTGGGTGTCCACGAGCTGCACTGAGCCATCAGCAGCAACAGGATTGCATGCCACCACAACCTGACAGCCCAACTCAGACTTCATTCATGATTTTTCGCAACTCAATCTCTCCCCGTTATTCTAATTCCTGGAAGTAATTTGGTAAATCTCTTCTGTATGCTTTCCAAAATTCTTCACTGATCATTATCCAGGCTAGTTCCAACAGACAAACTAAGTACATAGTCTTCATGAGCCAGTTCAGTCCCACTTGACAGCTGAATGATCAGGGAACAGAACAAAGCAATGTATCAGATATTTCTCTCCAAATCAGATTCCATTCAACTCTTCCCCACTCATCAACTTCAAAGCAGAACCTCAGTTCCGAGCACTGACCTAGCTCTTCAACTGGTCACAGTGATCACCAGCATTAACATCTGGAGTAGTTATACAAAACAACTCATTTCGACAGTGATTACATTTCAAAGGTACTTCATTGGCTGAAATTACCTTTTGAGACA